CCCAAATGTTTCGCCGGCATCATAGTCGGCATCGTCAGTGAGTATCGCCATTCTTAGCACCACACAACAATTCGTCAAAGAGACAATTACATTTAATCGGAATTAACCATGCTTTTTTATTATCCTGACCTTTGCTTCCCATGATTACAATTGATGACCGGCTCTTATGTACTTTTATCCTAGTAGGACTGCATAGCTTTGATGTGCTTTTTAAGTTGAACCTACCAAATTCATTTGCATTAAGGGAAACATGGAGGTTTTAACTGGCGATTAAACGGAACCCACTTTATTTAACTTGTCTTATCCTTTAATCAATAAGTATAATGCAGTTCTCTATCCTTTCTGTTATAACTTCGTATTTTGTGCTTACGATATGATCTAAACTATCTAGCTTAGTCTATACCTTGATTCGCAATTAATCTTCGTAAATGACTCGTTTAATCGTCATCGTCAGCGTTTTCAAGAATAAACCTTACTATTTACCTTATTATAGGACTCGTTAAATGAGTAATCAAACTCTTCTACTCGGCCTAGGCATTTTACTCTTCATCACTCTTAATAGCCACCCCTCTTTCGAAAACATGTCCCCGACCCATTTAATAACCAATTTGGGGGTCGGATTTAGCGATGCAAGGTGATACCGAAAGAAAGTGCAAAGTAAAATGGTAGACCTACTTTGGTCGGTTGTTATGCCGGTATCTATCCAAACTGTTTACTTTCTTGTACATCGACTTTCAAAGTGCAAATTATGCGTTTCTTGGCCTTTTAAGGCTTAATACTTAAGACAGCTTATATGAATTTAAGAAGTGACTTATGCACAGTTCTTCAAGAAGGTTTCGAGACTATCGGTAATTCTTGAATAACAAATCTAATCACCCTACGTCGTTTAAGGTGATTTAAGCACTGATATATAGGTTTTCGTACATTGAGATGAGCAGGCCTTACGATGTCATTTCACTCAGGGTGGCCTGCAGTTTTGACCTCGCTCAATTTCCATCATCACCCTCAATGGAATTCTACACTTGGTCGTGATACGAGGTCGAAACTGCTGTCTAACTTATTTGAGAGGACTTGTCAGGAGACAAGACTAGATGAAATGTAATAATATTGTACAGCCTATTAATCTCATTTCGCGAATACTTAACTATTAGTCGTTAAATCACCTTTTGCTACCCAGTATGTAAAGTGCTTTTACCCTAAGCTGAAATGAAATTCAGATTTAACTTGTACTTTCGCTAAAGTTTAGGATCGCCATTAGTTTCGGCCAATATTAGCGCTTTAGTCAAACCCGTTAGTAAAAGCTGGTTTTTGAAGAATGCCTTCATGATTTAATATTACTCGATTTTTTTATTTAAAGGCAAATTTGGCCAGAGTGTATTCGTGAATTAGCCTCATTGTAAAACAAATAAAGATTTCCTTGGTATGCAGAACGTTAGAAATTGCGAGGAAGTCATCGGCTAACCGTCCTGCCGCCCTGATAATCCGTGCCTAGCTTTTGTCTATTATGTGACAGATCATCAGAACGAGGAATCATAACTTACGATAAAGCTCGCCAATACACTAAACCAAGCCGATAACTTTTGCACTACCCAACCATCTTCATTCTAAAACATTCCTCCTTCAGTTTCCGGGACGGCCGATTCACGGATCCCTTCTGACTAACTTTTCCTTTTAAGTGAAAAATCGAGTCAAATTTTTATTATTTATTTTACAGGATTTAATCTCGCATCGGCTTCCGACCTTTTGCGAACGGCCGTTTCACAGGTCCTTAAATATGTTTGGAACTTGATTTAACTTTTTTTATTTTTGATTTCATTTTTAGCTTTATT